TGAATCGGAATTTCTAAACACGATGAGTCCAAAACGCCAAGCATCGGCGATGTAAACATGCAGATCTCTACACTGGGAGTCTCTCGAGTCCACGACAAGGTTTGTGATCAGCGAGTTTTGGAGGACGAATTCTTTCGGGATAGGATATTTGCCAATAACAGTGTCTGTGTCTAAGTCAATGGCAAATAATGTCGGTGGGCAGAGCTGACGTGGCGCCTCAAAGGCCTCCACTTGTCCTGAGTCCAACACCCACATCACACCGCAGTGGTCTACACTCATTCGGAATACTGACGTAAATCCAGTACAGTTACCTGAAATGTAACAATTTGCTCTTTGAATAAGCAGTAAAAATAAAAATTGATAGTAATACGTTACAAATTATTAATTAAATATAATTTTATGTCTATAAGTGATAGTTGAAGTAAGTCGTGTCATTACCCGCGTTATGCCAATCCCAGCTGGGGTATGGTGTGAGTTGCGGCGAGGCCTCGCCCGCTGATGTGGGCAACGTTGATAATGTCACCGGTACCCCCTTTTTCCAAGCAGGAGTACTGAGAAAGATCCGGTTTCGCCATCGTTCTATACCGAGCGGTATTACGTTGGTCTGGTTAAACTGTCTGTAAGAAAGTCAATCGTTATAAAAGACATCTTTTTAATTAATTATGAATTACTGGTTTACGAGAAAAAAAATGTTATTTCCTCTCTGTATCAAACAGAATTATTTCCAACAGTACTTATTACTTTGTACTGATGTAAAAATGTGTGAAGATAAACAGACCAGCTGTAAACATGCTTAAGTATGTATCAATGCAAACATATTACCCGTTAGCTATCGCTTGCTGTTTCTCCTGGTCACTGGGATATGCAAAATCGATTTGTTTCCATCTGTACAGAGTATTCAGCGCTCTATTGTGAGTATGATGTCTGTATGCAGCCGCCAGCCCGATACATAGTATCAGGCATAATATTCTCATCTGTAAATTAATATTACATAATATTTACTTACTCCCACATTTACTTATGTAATGCTTTCAGTATAACGCATATACTGCCTCTTCGGATCTCATTTCCTTATTATTTTGGTACGAAATGTTTTCAAACATTCAAAAGATTATATTGTAAAGTTACTTTAAACTAATTTAAATGTTCATCAGTGGTTTCCAATACCCAAGTATTTACTATATTTTAGCTCGGTTTATGAATTATATAAAAAAAGTTTTCAGTATTTTGTCAATATTTTAGATGTTATTTGTTTGTTATACAATTTTGATCTTTTACTGTCTCTTTAACGCTACAAAACAATCTTAAAATGTAATGTGGTTTCGTAACTCAAACCACGCCTTGAACAAGAATCATATCCGCAACATTCAATTTATATAATAGAGCTTCCTGTAGTCTATTAAAAACAAACAGCTGTCAGATAAAAAGATGTTTGATAAAAGAATCGCGGTATTCAAGTAATTAGTTGATGTAAATTGGGCGTTTTCGTGTTTATGCAATACGTTAAATACGATTTTTTAAGTTAATACCTTTTGTTCGTTACGGAGGCTAAGAAATGATTGGTAAAGGATACAGTCAAGTTCAAAACGATCAGAACAGTTAATTAGAAATAGAACGCTTAAAAACTATGTAAAGTTCAATCGGAAAACTATTAAAATACCCATAGTTTTATAATTATTTTCAACATTAAATGAAACGAGGATAAATCTGCAAGTTTTAAGGGTTATTAAGTGACCATTAATAATCCCTTCTTGTAGATTGGTATAAGAAGTCTATACCAAGTTAATACTGATTTTACCAATAAATGAAAGCGTCCGTAAATTTTAATTTATGTAAAACTATTACGAAATTTTTAAAAATTTAAAAATGTTACGAAACTTTCAAGCGAGTTTTGTGGCAACATTCAAAAACCAAGCCACAACTTGTCACCTCATATTTGGCCAAGATTTTTTTTACGCAATACCAAATTTTGAGATAGTTTTGTCAAGTTACATAAAACTCATTTGTTTCAAATAGAAAAAAATCTTAGAATCAGGATTCTTAAAACTACAGTAAACATAATTCCAGCAAGACATTTTTAAAATAGTAATTAAGAACTTGCTCTACCATACAAGCTACGTTATACAAGAATTTTGACCATCAAGTGTACATTACATTTATTTAGACAAGGGCATACATAAAATTATTAGATACATTTATTTAGCTCAGAATCTCCGCCTTTGGCTAACGCACGCACGCAATGTCCTTGTCCACATTCAAAACCACTAGTATTATCCGTCAATGAACTAACTGTTCGTTATGACAAATCAGTATTTTTTTAAGAATATCCGTATAACTTGCGATAATTAAAACAATAAAAAAAAAGATTTTATTAGAGCAAATGAATGTCAATTGACAATTCATTTGCAGAATGCATAGTTTACGTTAATTGGGGTGTTATTTTTGACCGACTTCCCAAAAGAAGGAGGTACTCAATTCGTCTGTACGTTGTTTTTTTATTTTTTTTTCTTGACCGAAAGTTCATAATATGAGCCAGAACCGAACATTCGATATGATATTATGCGTGGATTAAAAAAATAGCCTATACTTTTTTCCAGATTATCTTCTACGTCTACGCCAAATTTCATCGTGGTCCGTTCAGCCGTTTTGGCTGCAAACTCTAACATCCATCCATCCATCCATCTAAATATTCTCATTTATAATATTAGTACAATTTGTAGAGAACGCATTAATTATTGCACCTAAGCGATAGAAAATAATTTTATATGGTAAAAGGGAACATACCGTTTCCATATAATTCAAGTACTTTGTAGAAAATTAGTGTGGGCTTTTTGGTTTTTCAAATAACATTGTCGAAAGTATATAACGTGATTAAAAAATTGTGTCAGATCAGTCATTAATAATGGTAATATAATATTCTCTGATTATCTAAGGGTAATTTAAGAAGATTGACATCGCCAATATGTGCAGCAGAAATAAGTGTTATTAGCGACGTGATTTTAAATTTCTAAAGAACGTTGCTTTTTATAACTTGTTTATTTTTTAGTTTTACCTTTTGTTATTTGTTTATTTATATTATTCGAAGGTAAAAAATTGTTTAAAACACTGTCTGAAGCCAGTTACTAAGTTCGAAACTAAAGAAAATAAAGGAAAGAAAAAAACTATGTACATATACAATAAAAAATAAAATATAAAATAGACGTAAAAATATTTGACAGCACTAATATTTGGAAAATATTCTATATTCAAATTATAACGATACGAAGAGAATATTAGATTTACCAAGAAGGTATGTAAGAAGGTACCTACTATTATTAAATTTTTCATATGAGATAACATTTACCTTAATAAAATTGTTTTGCGTAAAATGATCGGTCGCGTCTGCCCACAGCGCGTTCCCACTACGTAATGTAACATCGACCTGCTGCGAACCAGAATTTATGCAACCGGTTTTAAATATTGTACCTATATATTTCAAATATTTAATCTAATGTGGTATTTTGTTGATGTGATAACTTTTTGTTAAGGAAAATACGTTACAATATGGTAAATATCAACTTGTTTTTAACATTTTATCGTTTACTTTGACTTTTTTTCTACGTGGATATCTTAATAAAGATACCTTATCTTCGGGGTGGGACAGGGTTATGTGGGGTTATAATCACTAAAACGCTCTCGGTGGCCATCCTCTAGTACTACTAGCGGGTATCCGGGATTTCCCGTGAAAGGCACCGGTGTCCCACTACACTCAGCTACTGCGCTTCCTAGAGAGCACAGGCTCCATTTGTTTCGCTTAGAAAGAGATAGATGGATTATGTGTAATGTGGAATAATCAATAAGGTTGTGTTGCCTGATATGACTAATGATAGATAGATAGATATGGACGACCAAAATTAGTGCGCCAACTTGCTTGTCTTGTCTGCCTGCTCATGCCTGTCTTCTGTGTGGTCAAGGTATTGTACCGGGCAATTCTCTAAATTCATACATTGGACAAATAATTCATTTTAATGCTGTTCCTGTGAAGGGCCAACTATCGCCCCAAGGGTTGTCCATACATTATGCAATATGTAATAATAACTTGTTAGTTTCAAACTTCAAGATGCTTAGACGTAAAATTTACCCCTTATCGTAGTCTTAACCTTCGATTTGCGCGTAATTTTACTTGGTAATTCCAGATACACGGTAAAAGCCAATGTTCGCAACGTATGATGAACATTTGAGAGTTATCAGTTGGTGGATTAACTGTGCTAGTTATTGTTAAACTTTGACTTTTACAATTAAGTAAATACATTATGTGTACATTCATGGTTAATGATTTTGACAATTCGAAAGAATTTGAAAGTCGCTATTTTCATGGCTCAACATTAAATTAATTTACATTTGTTGTGAACCACCTTACTTAGCCTTGTCACGTTATGTACACAAAAGGACGCCAATTTTTTTTATGTTTTATATTTAATTTTGAATGCAAAATGTAGATCCACCAGCATTTCAACTGCACAGAATAATTCTTTGAAATAGTATATTATTTTTCTCTATATAGTTGATATGCATTTTACACATGTGTATTTGTTTTAAACTAATAAATTTAAGTAAACCTGTAGTTGTATTTAATCAGCAAGTGTCGTTCATAGACATTTTCTCTCTTTATGTATAGAATCGTACTTATTCAGTTTATTGACTTGAAGTTTTTATAAAATGAAACATCTGTTCGTTTTGTTTATAACTACGTTCACTTGTTTGTGTTTTGCTATTCAACTTAAAAGGTTTAGACTATGAGGGTTCAAACATTTGCGTAGGACCGATGTAAATTAACTTTACAATAATTATTAATTTAAGGAGATAATTTTCTTACAGTTTACCGTAGCAAGATTATTTTCTTTTAAAATTTGCTAAACACATTTTAATAGGCGTTCGTATTAATACTTGGTATTATTACCCTAAATCAATGAGGATCTTTATTATTCTACCAAAAACTTTGTTTAAATAATTCTAATTTGTGTTTTTGTGTGAATTTTGTCATACGTTAAAATTTTATGGTATAAAAATAAACATCGGTATTTTTGTTTGTTTAAAAAATTTAATACTAAAATATCACTATTACGGTACTCCTAGCTAATTAAGTAGATACATATTATTATGGCAACCATTCGTTTGTTACAAGCGGAGAATAAGGAGGCAATTGCAGTTGCGGGTCACAAATTGTGCCTTGCACGGCTTGTGTTGTGTCCACGTACATTATTCTATAATTGTAATCGTCATCGGATAAACTGCCATCTTGAAACATCGGGAGCCGGTTTGATATTACCCACACACTCTGCTGCTGCTCGTGATCAATTTTTATATCATTGGGGAACACTAGCGTTTCCGTATTCATAGCCACGACTCCCATGGTCTTCTTATTGTACGGCTTCTGAGAATCCCAGCAACCGATACTATCTTTTGATACCAACCCATAAAACATGACTCCGTTTCTATCCATAGCGGAGGCTGACGACTGTCCGAGCAGTCCACGGCTATCACCAACTATTTTAAAAGCATTAGCGCTGTCATTCACACGCGCAGGCTGGCGTAGAACGTCCGTCGTCACTGAAAACTCGCGGTAGCTCGACATGGAATGGAAATACAGTGTCCTGTCTTCAACATTATTAATCGGTGATAGAGCGAGTCCAAAGATGCCGTCAGCCCATTGGAAGTTTAGATCGTGCAGCGTATAATTTGATGCCAATGGATCAGGATAGAAAAGGTGGTGAGAAAATCTCCAAAATTTTTGATCACTATGTCTGAAGACGAGTAAACCAAATCTCCAGGTATCGGCTATATATAGATGGAGATCTGAACAATCTTCTTGTCTACTGTCGACAATTATGTTAGAGAACAATGAGTCTTGTAGGACATATTCATCGGGGATCGGATATCTTGCTATCATGGAGTCGGTTTGCATGTTGAAGACGACTACGCTCGGTGGACATATTTGCTTGGGACTGTCCTGCGAGTCAATCTGCCCTGAGTCGAGAACCCACAGTTTGCCGCACTGGTCCGCACTCACTCGAAACACCGACGTTAAGCCAAAACAGTTAACGTCATCACCTGAAATTTATATAATGAAAACTTAGTTATCATGATATGTACTTCCAATACCATAGTTATGTAAATATTAAACTTACTAAATGCTCGATGATAGTTCCAGTCAGGGTAGGGCTTGAGGGCAGGGGAGGTGACGCCGCCGCCGCGTGAGACTGTTGCGAGCGTGGCGGGGACGCCGCGGCGCCAGCTCGGTAACGTTACCCACACGCGCGAGCCCCACACCTCCAAACCAAGGGGAAGCACGTTAGACGGGATGTATGATCTGAAATACAAGTCATAGAATTATCAAACCGGTTCTGATTTCTAATGAATCTGAGTCCTTTATAAGGAGCCCAGAACATCATTTCAATTGCAGGCTTTATCAGCTTAGTTAAGGAAAGTGGTATATTTTCCAATTAATGATTTATACATGATATTGTTACTAAATTTTTAAAAATGTATTATGATTAATGATTTAGTCGTCATTAGAAATAATTCTTTAGTTAAAATCGTATACTTTTAAAGTAAAGTACTCCATAGTGTAATATTTAGATCACGCGGATGTTACGAGTGCAGTAAGCACGGTCCATCTACTGTCCAGTAGATTTATTACCATAGCAAGTTTTTAATTGCAAATCTAATTAGAAGCCTATATATGTTTCAACAAAACCGCTAAGCGTAGACTTTCTCTCTACACAGTTAGGTCACAACGAAATTGCCTCTTATGTCACTGAAAATATATCTTATTTACTTATTTTATCTAGGAATCCGAGCTATTAAGAGCAGGTTTTTATTACAGAACACCTATGGGTTTTGGCATGTCAAAAACAATATATCTGTTTTTTTTTTTAAAGAACATGACAAGAATTATAATCATACTACGGCATGTGTCTTTTAAAGAAAGAAGCCTAAGGTAAATATTTGGATATATATATAAATGTTTTGGTGTTCTGGGCCTACGGTAATATACTATTTTTTAAAACTAACTGCATTATTATTAAGGTTAAAAGTATTGTAGTTTGTAGCACAGCGTAACGGTTTCATTTTATGATTGATTGATCAATATTATGTGTGATGATTTAATTGCTCTATTTAAAACTACTGAACCATACACGAAATCGTGTGTAATATCTTTATTAAATCAGGTACTTATTATTTTATGTTACGCGTATTTTACTATAATTTGATTAACTATGTTTATTTTACATCGGTCTTTTTCGCAGAGGAAGGATTTGCAGATACATTGTCAGGTGTATTGAAAAGCGAAGACTGTTCTTACAAGACAGAAAACGCAGCTTTCACAAGGACCAAATTAAATGAATCTTATGTACTACTAAAATCACATTACTTAATTAAGAAGAGGTTGGTTTTTTAATTCAGATCTCAGACAATGAATTGCCCTAAAATTACTATTGATTGTTTTAGGTAAGCTTGGACTAAAAGTTAGTTTATTATTTCACGTATTGTAGTATACCTGGAGATGAGTGCTCTGCGTCTATGCTGTACGCTGGGGAACTCAAAGTCTATGGTCTTCCACTTGTAGAGCGTGCCGAAGGGTGGCGTATCGGTATCCGCGGGCACCGACTGCGGCCGCGCGAGCCCTAGCATCGCCAGCCATAGTGTCACCGCTGCGGGGCGACTGCGATCTGCAAATTGTCAGTATGCTATATTTTTAATTGTTCTTTGCTCCTCTAGCGTCGTACGCCTCTTGATGCCTAGTAATTTTACTTAGTCTGTGACTAACAGTGGAATTTTCTTTAATTTTATATAGCGCGTGTAGTTTATGATGCTTATTGTAAAGGGACTCACTCTATGTAACTTGTATAACTATTATAGCTTCTCATGTTACTAGCTTATCATTGACTTCTACTCACACATTGTCTTTATCGTTTGGAGAATTTAATTACGGGCAAGGTACACACGAAACACTGTAACGTTTGACTCTCCGGCAGTATAATTGCAACTGATTGTTTGCCGTTTCACTGGACGGTTCGTTTATGAATGTGTATGCTTAATATGCTGCATGATATGATAACATTTGAGGATAATAGTGACGTCACACGATGACTACCATACCCATCCGATTTAAATATTTTATATAAACATTGGAAAGCTTGTATTTAATTCAATAACATGGTACATTGTGTCTGAATTGTACGGAATTCAAAACATTCACTGTCTGCCACCTTCTCGGGATGAGTCCGTGATAGTGTTGTTTGAATTTGAGTCGTTTCATTAGCCTCTGGTGATATTATTCGTAGAAGATTTTTAAAAAATACAATACAAAGATACAGGTTAGTAGTAGTGTTTTTAAAACATTGCCTAGCTCTGATGAAGGCAATTTTCATCTACCTGATAATCCGTAATTTAAATGGTTACTTCACCCTCTATTCGGTATGTCGTTTATGCTGTACCGTTGTCCAAATATTTTACAGTCAAACTTATTTCTAGTTAAATCTACAGTAATCATACTTCGTCAATTTGATTTGATCTAAGATGGATAGTACTTAAAAAGCCTAGTCATTCTATGCTTTTGCTATTACGAGTAACTAGGTATATATATACTTTTTCACATTTTGATCGATACTTGTCATGAAACTTTAATAGAACTGGATGTTTTAAGTGTAGAATAGGTGATGTGAAGTATCGTGAAAGTCGGGCAACCTGTTTCGCGTTCTCGTGTGTTGCTCAACACAATATTACTATCTAATGATTGTCGTGACGTTCAGGATATATAAGTAATCAGAAGGGACAAGTAAATTGTCATTGTAAACGTTACATTGTTTTGTTTGAAATTTTTTGCTATAAAATAAGTAGGTTATAGCATCGTCTTCCTCACACTATTGTCTTTATCTGATTTGTGGACAAAAGAATGAATTATTCATTTGCTTAAACTGTCCTAGTTATAAAAAATTCTGTAGACATGACAATATATCAATTACATACAAGTATTTAAACAGTGAAAAGCCATAGTAAGAAAAGAAAAATTTACCAAAACTACTTTGGCTCCGTATTTCGGTTACTTTTAACTGAGCCGCTGATAGTTGCCGTTTTTGTGTTGCAAAAACAGGTTGAGCTTTTTGAAAATTTCACAAGGTTCTTAATCTTGATAACCTCCGTATTGAGAAGTAGCCGAGTCAAACTCACGGTCAAACAGTTGTTATTTTAGATGGGTTTAGATAAAGAAATTAGTTTAAATAGTTATCGTGCAAAAGCAAGTTCTATTATAAAATGGGATTTCGATTTATTTCCTTCAGAAAAAAACTGTCCTGAACTATTACTATACGGAAAACGTATAGAAAAATCCTCAAAATATTTTTTACTTACAAGATAAAAGCAATTTGTAACATTGTATTAAGTTCATGTTTTATGCTTAACTGTGTTTGCAATATATATGTACAAGGTTACCTACTCTTTTGCAAGTGCGACCGAAAAATATTGTTTATTAAAAATTTTGATTTTTTGTGGCCACTGTTTTAAATTTACCTTGATTTGAAGGACTATCATTGGTCATATGATAATTTTTAAATTTTACCTGTCCATTTAGTCCGGTAAAGGTAACAAGTTCCGTAATATCATGTTCATAATAAATATTACGATTTCATATTGTCTTATACCAAGTTAGCTTTAGTCCGTTAGCCTAAATGTATTACAGAGAACACAATAGACTTTAAGCTATAACCATGTTTATACCATTAACACGGGTTTTCGCTTTATTGCTTCCGCACGAGCGCTGATTCAAATGTTAAGTTGAGGTTACACCAAGAGATTTTGTTCTTAAATTAAGTATTGAGCATTATAATTTTTCACAGAAATAAGAAAATGATTGACATGATTCATGCCCGTACCCGAGAAGGATAGGTAGAGATTATGATTTACCGTTTCGCGCGATCGTAAACATTTCGTTCAAATTCGTAATGTTTATTCTACGACTAACAACAATGGGTTCAGCTTTTATTTCTACAATATTGAATTAGTTAATAAAATTTCGTCAGTATGCCAGCAACCTTATTCGGCGTCGCTTTCTCTAGTGCAGTACGGCGGTTCACGCTGACTCTACAACTATGCCTATGTCGTTAAAACTTCGGTATCGATTATTATCATGCACAAATGTACGAAAAAGTGTTAACATATGTACGGTACAATTCAATATAAAAGAAGTAATAATAAAACAGAGTAATTCGTTATTTCAATAATTGAATTGGAATTAAAATATTTATAAGGTAAAGAGAAATTTATATTATCCGCGTTCACATCTCAGAGGCGCTTAGAAAGTTAATTATTTCTCGGAAATTTCAATACGATATTACCGAATTGCTTACTAAAGTAGTGAAAACTATTCATTGTTGTGTTCACACGTAATTTCACGAAGTTGTAAGACGCAGCATGAATAAATTTTGTATTGATCTTATAATTTTATAACTTACTTTCTAATTAAAATGGATTTTAATAATCGCTTGCTCAGAACATACAAAGCCAAATTAAATAATAGCCAATAGTAAACTTTGTTCCGCGTAAAAAACTATCTAAGTTGTTAGTTGAATGAGAGATAAACTCAGTGATTGTAAAAAATGTTAAGCTTACAAGAGTTTTCCTAAATCAAATGTTTTTGTTAACTAAAAAAGAACGAAACAGATTTCCTTCTTGTATTATGTTTGGTTTTTAAAAATAAACATCACATTTTTTGCAGTCATTTGATTAAATCCAAACTGTTATAGTTAGATGAAAAACAACTAATTTATAAAGAATTGAATTTTGAGCTTGCAGTTGCTTCATAAAATGTGAGAAGTGAAATATTTTGCTAATATTATAAATGCTAATGTTTGGATAGATGGATAGATGTTTGTTAAAGTTTGCAGCCTAAAGGCATAGATGTAGAGCATATTGTAAAAAAAACGCAAAGGCTACTCGTTTTTCTTTTTTAAATTCCATGCGGACGGAGTCATGGCGAAAGCTAGTTATAGATAATATCGCAAATAAGAGGCATGTATTCAATTTAACTATACTAGTTAGTTTCCTAAACATTGTAAAAGTGTAACAATATTCTCTTGAAACGTCTACGTAGCAGTTTAATACTTTATTTGTGGCTTCAAAGCGTATCATCTTGGGTTCAAATCCACTTAGCGACTTATTACATTTGTTCCTTACAAGCTGTAATCATTATTCTCGAATTTGTAATAGAAATAAAGCTTGACTAATATGAGAGCAATCTTACCGGTAACGTTTAATGAACGTTGTCTATCGTATTTCTTCACGCTGTTCGCTCTCTGCTGTTGTATCTGATTTTCACGATAGTTATTTAGTACCGCAACTTGTGCGTCCAGAGGATTGTAGGCAATGCGACCATAGTGATTATGATGATTCCAGTTCGAATTCACGTGCTCGTATTGTCTTGAAATATCCGCAAAGATCACAGAAGGCGGGGACCATTGTACGAACCACTGATGCGAAACCGCCATCGCTTTGTAAACACTACACTAGTTTTCACACGTTAAATATTTAAAATTTTATAATACACTAGTCAGTTAACATCCTAAATATCAATAAGTCCTTTTGTTTTCATTTTATTTACAAATCATCTATGTTAACACTTTCGCTGCTCACGTGTGGTCAGCACTGTTTACGATTTGATCTGACGGTAAAGCAAGCGAGCCGCTTTACACCATCCGGCCCCTCTTATGACCATTACGATATCACGTGCGATGTAAAGATAGCCTCCATATAGTTAAATATCAAGCACCCAGTTGATCTAACTTTCAATTGTGCGAAGTCCACTTTATAAATGCTAACTAACGAATGTGTTTTGTAATACGTTTTTTGTACACTCTTAATCAGTTAGGATGAAGGTCGTTTTGTAAAAGGATTTTGAGTTATTCAAGTATGATGCTTAAAAGCACAGCTGAAACATCTTACTTTCAATTATAACTTAATAAACAAACGAACGACCTCTTATAACTATTATTCTTATATTCAGTATATAATTAATTTCCACTGCTTAAACGCGTATACATAATCAAAAACTCGCATGTTTTTAAGAGAATTTGTTAATTTAAATCAGTCCATATTTGTTAAAGTCGTGATAGAGTAACCGTGTACTAGTCATGACTATATCTATCTAAAGAATTCAATCTTCATTCCAGGCGCACCTTAATTATTTAGTCGCTCAAGTGAGAATTAGAACTCGAAATGAAAAGGAATCAGAGCCTATTCTAAGAACAAAGAGATTTTTATTACTACAGCTGTATACAACAAGGTGCAAGTATGTATCAAAAATGCATGGACTTTTTTAATACTTCTTTTATTATGAGGTCAGACAAGTTTGACAACAGTCTTCAGTACAAGGGAAGAGTATGTTACTTTTATTTCAATTTTGTCTATTCGTTTGTGTGCAATATTGATTAAACGCAGTAGTTTTAAACACAAATTAAAAAATAAAACCTGTCAGATCATTTTGCAGCTAGATATAGTAAGTTTTTTTTTATCTAAGTAACATTTAATTAAATAACTGTGATCCGTCTAATAATGTACTTTCTCTTTATGCCCATTGATTGCAAACGAGGACGTAAAATAGTAAACTTATCGCTATTAATATATTAATCGCAAGTTATAATGATTTATTACATATTAGGTAATGGATTTATTATATACTAGCTGTTGCTCGCGACTTCGTCCGCATGAAATTAAAAAATGTAGCCTATGTTACTCACAGATAAATTACCTATCTAACAGTGAAGAAATTTTTAAAATCAGCCTAGTATTTTAAGTATTTCCATACATACAAAAATACAAGCCTTTTCTCTTTATAATATTAGTATAAACAACATCGGATTAGGAGGAGCAATATAAATCACTATCATGAAACTTAATGTTACAATGAATAGCATTGCACATAATGAATGTAATGCTAGCTTCACACGAGAGTACAACAGTACACGTTGCAGTAGTCAAAATATTACTGTTCTGCCTCGGCCTTTGTATACAAATGATAATAGTACTATTCTACCCTCGTGTGAAACTAGCGTTAGCATCATAAGCCCCGATGTGCTTATGCAAGAAAACAAGGCTAATGCTAGGCAATGAAATCTTTTATTAGCATCAGAACATTTGAACGTAGTAATTATAATTCGGCTAAACATAGTACTATAAAATGTACACGAAACACTTGCGAAAATATCTTCCATAGATTAAGATATACTTTTATTGTTAATGAAACTTTTAAATCAACGTGAACATTATTAACACTTTATTTTACCATAATTTTCACATATCTAAAGGTTTTATAATCAGCATGTTAATTGCAAAATTAAATATGCGTCATTTAGTTAGTTAGTAGTAGTTAGTAGTTTGACAAGAGTTATTCCTATGGCGCTATAAGTTCCATTTTTAAAAAAAGAACCAAGGGACTTATGAAATACATCCTTTTTTTTCAGTAACATCAGGACCTCAAGAGGAACTACAGTTTGTGCCAACTTTAAAAATCCACTTAACGGAAAAATGAAGAACAAAGATGAGGACGATCTTCAAAAACATGGCTCGTGAATTTGTGGCAATCAAAAGTTAATCAGTACCTACGACTTAACCTAATTTCGCTGTAAAAGCTACTGGTTGCATTTTTATTGGTTTCCACCAATATATTGAGCCAATCAGCGGTCAACGTGTGGTTTGTTATAACGACGTCTACCACGTTAAATTACCCGCAGTTTCTTTCAATATGTACGTGAAACAGATTGTGTTCCTAACAGCTTTTATAACTGTAGTTAAGGCTATTTATCCATACTTTGATACACAAGACTTTATCTACAATATTCCTAAAGTCTATCGGATATCTATTACGTTGGACAAACTATTGGAATACTATGAAAAGAAGCCATCGAAAGATCCGGAATGGTTTATCGCTTTAGGGGTCGCTAGAGGTAATGTAATAATGTAATTGTTTTATTACTTTACGCCTTATTTTTCAGTTAGATTTACTCCAATTTGTTTACTAACTAACAGACTATATTTATTAATGTCATCTTAGAATATTTTAATTACATGTTTTTTATTTTATTATTTAGTTTTAAATAAAACTTTAAAGAAAGCATTTTCCCCGCTTATTACTATAATTAGAGCCTAACGAATTATTATCGCAATATAGTATTGTGAAAATTTCTTGAATACTTTGATTGATTCAGGCCAATTAGAATACACAATCAATGAACTGGACAAATCAGTGCCGCCGAAGCTGAGAGAAAACCTGCAGAACATTACGAGGAAGATGGATAGAATCCGAAATAATACTGATATGAGTAAATTTTCGTATCGCAGTAAAGATTATGAATATGGTAATGTTACATGTTAATTTACAATTAAATTAAAATTTCTTACTTCTTAATCCAAAGTGATTTCGCTCCTTCTAAACACGTAGGTACTATCGCTTTCATCATTGAAGGTTACTAAGTTAACAATTTAGACATTTTCCGAAATAACCACTTTGAATTTTATTTTTAAATACAAGGTAAGGTAATAAAAGATACACAATAAGATACTCCATTTAATCATAGTATTTGCAAATATGAATTTTTAATTCTACTGTAATTATAAACCGTGAATGGGCATCAAAGGGATTACTAAAACTAAAACAAAATGATGACGTAGAAAGTTTGTAACTAGAAAGTAGTCTCATTTATTGGTTTTGATTAGTTACGGCGTAAATATCCATAGTTCCGGTAACATTGATAAACAAATAATTAAGTACTGCTGAATATAAGCAAGAAGAATAGAAGAAACAAATGAATTCATTTAAATCGTTGTAAAATACACGACAATAAAATATGCAACAATCATTTACTTTCAGAATGTAACAAAAATGTGTAACTGCCATGTGCATTAGCATGCAGCGTACTCTGATATTGACCCGTGAAACAATTGCGTTGCTGACGTTGCGATACTTACACGAAATTCTTTTGTCGGCTAGAGAAAGGCAGGATAACGATTAAAGATCTGTTCACGTACAGTTACCTAGCATTCGGCAATATGCGCTTCGCAAACTTGATTTACAATCCAAACCAGGTCACAAACCATGTACCACAAGAATATTGTGCAATAAATGTTATAAAATCATTTAACTTAATCCTATTAGGTAGAATAACCAATGCCAGACATTTATTAGTTAACGCACATCATAAAAAAAAACATACAGACGAATTGAGTACCTCCTTTTGGGAAGTCGGTCAAAAATATATGTGGATATACAACAAATTGCAAACAAATCTTCATTTGTGATGTAACAAAAAAAAAGTTTATGCAATTAATTTTTAACACTCAATTAACGGTCAAGATTTTTTATTCAACAATCATTGATATGTAATAGTTGCTGTGCCAGCTTATTACTGCAAACTTATGCGTTAAAAAATACATCATTATTTTTAGCTTATTTGAGTTTGTTCGGTCAGTCGTGAGAAATGCAAGCGGGAAATTTCTTTTGAGCACTAATTACCATTGCGGTGAAGTTTGCATTATTTCGGAATGATTTCACATAAACAAAAACTTCGTTATATTTGATATTTCTCCTGTTTGGAAATAAAAGCAAAATATTCTTCTTCGAGTAAGACAATTCGTTTAATACAAGCTCTCCTCGTGCTGAGTTTATACATATATTAAAATTGATACTTTTTTTAACAACGTCGTTCAATAATCTTTAATGTATTCTGGCTGTAACAATGTTGCAATTAATAAAACCTCTCACAAACTCTCAATACGAAACCCTAGAACTCCAATGCTGTTTCTTTCTACGAAGAATTTCCAATTTTTTAGTGGTAAAAGCAATAATAGAGAACATGGATGTGCTATCATCGCTAATGGAACCGCTGACGCTGGGCACGGTGGGCACGCAGAAGCCGTACAGGTTCGGCTTCGAGCAGTACGTGCAGGAGGCCAGAACTAAGATGCCTACTAGAAAAGCAGCCGGTATAGTATCCTGTTAATATTATAAACTAAGAAGTTGACATGCGGCAGCCGTTCACTCGACTAAATTTTCATCAACTTACTTTTTACTTATATCATAAATGTGAAAATTTAGATGGATGGATGTTTGTCAGAGTTTGTAGCCTAAACTGCTGAATGGATCTCGATGAAATTTGGCATAGATAAAAAGAATAGTCTGGAAGAACACATAGGCTACTCATTATTCTTTTTTTTTAATTCTACGCGGACATCGCGGGCGAAAGCTAGTTATCCTTAAAGTTTTTTCAGTTTATTTAGTCAGAAAATATATAAAACCTACTCAGATGTCCGAGGAGCGGCTTGTAGTATTTTATGATATTGGCCATTGGGACGTCTATGTATGTTCTTTTGTTTTTCCGGATTTTTCATAAAAATACATATGGTTATTATACCTAAAGTAAGTTCTAGAAGCCTATTTAGTATAGCACTAGACTACAAATATAACTTGTATATAATTTCGCACAAAATTAACCGCAAAGTGAACATCGTTAAGCAAAATACCCATTAAAATGCTAAATCGACATGCTCGGTTTGTTTAAATTTCAAAACTTGATGCTGCGTAATTTAAATGCAAGATCTTTACAATTACAAAATACAGTAGCTACTTAATGTGGATAACATGAATATATGATATTTATTCATAGAGTATTCAAATGTAAAATTTAGTTTATGGCTAGAGAATACATAGACTTAGAAGTATAACATGCCTGTAAGCGTACTGTTGTGTAGTATTGTCATTTATCCTAGTCACGTTATGTACAAGTGGTATTATAGAATGCAGTTTTCTTTGTATTTGCATAATACAATCGAACGTGAAAATTAAGAGTATCACGAATTGTCCATTGCTGGTGCATTTATGATAGTAATAACACTTGCGCAAGATAGCCCCTATAATAACCGTATACATCGATAATAACGTAATATTCGAACGGTAGATAAATACTTTCTGTGTACACAATTTATTTCTAGACTATATGCTTGCATCATACAACGTATTTGATTAGTTCTATTAGAAACTTAGAAATTAATAGTATCTGAAAGCTATTAGCAATTTTTTTTTAACTGAAGTTGCAAAGAATAAAACGAAAGCAACAAGAAAGTGAGTACTCATTTTCTCTCTTCCAAAATTTGACCCTCCCCCCCACAACTTGTTTTACATTTTTTTTGTGTCCCATTCCAAATTTGAAAATCAAATTGTCTATTGATGAAAACTGTTTCCACAGACGCGTGCACAATGCAGTTACTAATATCAGCAATGGAAACTCAGACGACTCAATCAGAAGGCGCCTGTGAGCTAACACCCGAATGTCAGGCGCAACTGATGAAGGGGTCAGGGTTGGCGTTTCAACAAACAAGCCGCGTCCGAGCGGCAGGCCTAGCTCGACTCTTCGATTGTATGGAAGGCTTAGATCTCTCAGCACACATTTACAAGCTCTGCATACAAATCTACAAAGAAACTAAATCGTTGGAAGCTTGGAGTCATCCTCCTGGAACTAAGACGCTGTTTCTGCAACAGAGTATGTTGATTGATGTTTTTTTTTTGTTTTACGCAGCATACATTGTGCGCAATTAACAACCAGTTTTTAAATTCATTGATACTACTACATTTTTGAAGTAATTATACGTATAGTAATGCATTAAATGAATATTACGAGTAACTTAGATATAAATTACATTAAATTACTGCTGCTCTTGACTATTACAATTAAAATTATATGTTTGTGTTAATATAAATAATAGTGTTGTGAATTAATTGTATGAATAAATTTAAACAAGCACTAAATTGATGTTCTTTTATCGGAGAGTAAATTTACGTTTTTATATAAGAGTTACTAAATACTGTTCCGAAATCGTACAAACATGTGTTATTAGAGACACATTAATATTAATACGTTATTATTTTTTTTGTATTCTTTATAGTTCTTTATTGCGCTTCGCAAGGTTACGGGGAGTTCATAAAACCTAGATGGATGAATAAAATCCTGGCGTGGCAGGAGCCTAAAGGATGCTACTCTGATGACCGGCAGTCTTTCCTCAAGCTCACAGGATTTGTGGGACCAGCCAGTTCCCCTCCGCCGAAAGACAGAGAGGTATATCTATACATCTTATTATAGAGAGGAAAGGGAGGAAAGAGGAAAGATTTGTATTTTTGTATGTAAACTACTGGCTCGATTTCACCATTCAAAAGTTACGTTATCAGTAAGAAACATATGCTATATTATTTGTTATTTTTTAATTTCACGCGGGCGAAGTCGCGAGCAACAACTAGTGTTAATACAGGTAATATACATACCTACATAGTGGGACTAGATAGAGTTAATATTTGTATCGCAAAAAAAGGGAAATGCGGCCACCTGCCACCGTTGGACTTAAAAAGTGGCACCCTTGACTTAGG